CTTCTCCCCTACCTTCCTCCTGCCCCCCCCCCAAAAAAAAAACCCCAAAACAAAACAAACACCTAACCCAACACAAAACTGCAGGGCTGCTGATAAAGATTATTCTGTGTTGATAAAGTCAGGGCCCAGTAGTCCCGATGAGCATCAGAGGTTCTGTGAGCTCAGTGGTCACAAACTCTGGTGCTTTGTGTCTTGCTTGGCTTTTTGCCTCTTGCTGTCAGGGATAAAAGCCACACTGGTTTCCATCCTCAAATTTTAGATATTATTTTGTGTCTTTTGATAGGTGGATTAGTCTGAGGGAGTTTGGTGAAAAGATAGTTGCTTTCAAAATGCTTTTTCTGTCCAGAAATACAAAACTTATCCCTCTTTTTGTTACTGTTGGCAGTTTTGCGTGTGTGCTAGTCCTTGGTGGGACAGTATCTACAACACATACTCCTGATTGCCTGAAGACATAGGCAAAGGGATGATTCTAGCTTCATTACATTCCAAGTGTCTTAATTGAAACCCACAGGCTAATTCCTTCTTTTATTTCTAAATTCCTTTGCTGAAAACCTAAATAATGAGGTGGGAAGACAAATTTAAGTCTTAAAATATGAGATGACCCTTGTTAACCTGTGCTGGAGTGGTTGGGCAATTTCTGCGCTTCTTGTGCCAGTCTAGCCTGTATGCTTCTCCAGGGCATTTTCATAATAGTGCTGTTCTGCCAGCTGTTTTGAGTGTGATAACTTTCGTCTTTCAAAAGCTAAATAACACTGTTCTGTCATGTAAGCATATAATAATGCATTTTGGGGAAATAAGAAAGCTGTCTCTCGGTATGAAACAGAAGTTGAATAAAGGACAAACCATAATGCAGTGAGGCTTATGTTTTTACCTTTACTTTTAGATCATTTAGGTTCCTTTTTGCTTGCACACATGATATTTGCAAGGTAATGGATTAGACTTGAACTGCGTTTTCAAGGTGCCCTAAATGAAATTAAGGGACAATGTTGGAGGTGGAAGAGGTATGTAAGGCTGCAGAAGCAGCTGTTGGGGGCGACTGAATGCCAGAACACGGACTGGGCATCTGATCACAAGAGCTGGTTGTTCTGAGCGTGCTTCAGGACGTACATCGTGTTGTGTAACACAAGAAGGCTTCAGCAAACAAGCATCCGGGATAGGAAGCTTTCCTTCTCTCCCTTGTCATCACAAGAATTTCATTTTGTGTGTGTGTGTTTAGGTTTGTTTTTATTTCCTCTTAAAGGAACAAACTGTTCTGACATTGTCCATTACAAGTCCATTAAGTGACCAGAGGGCAGACAGAGCCATGTTGGCCAGAGGAAACAGTCAGTAGGTAATGAAGAAGAATTTGGCCCCGAGTCAGTCCTTGGCTTTTATTGTCAGGCTGTGGCAGTGTGAAAGGAAACAAATGTTTTAGCAACTTGGTGAATTTGTTTCTCACTGGGCTGTAACTTGCTGACATTTTTAATGTCTTGTGTGAGAAGTTGACTGGCTGGAGTACTGTGTGTTTTGCTGAATGGTGATATTGTTTTTTTCACTGAATGTGGCTAATTTGTTATCCGAATCATAATGTCAGCCTCCAGGGGCTAGCTTGACAGACTCATAGGAATCTAAAGAAAATTACTTTGAGGGATAAAATAACTTGTCACTGTTACTAACAAAGCACCAGCATTTCAGTTGCAATTTTTTTTTTTTTTTTTGCAGGGATTTATAGCAGAAAGCTCTACACAACCATAGCTATAATGGCCAATTACAAAAATCCTAGTTTCAGAGGGTTTACAAAGCAAACATGAAAACAGAGCCTGACTGGGCAAGTATTCTCTGTGTTTTATAACTGACCAGGATGTTTTGGGAAAACAGGAATTGTGCAGATTCTGATTCCTTACTTAACTGAAATAGAAATTATGCTCTGATACTGAAGAGATAGTTGGGTATATGCATTCATATTCTTTCTTTCACTGAGTCTTTCATCAAGACTAAGTAGTTTTTGTTTATTGGATATGTTTCTTGATGTTTTTTTTTTCCTTACCCTTGCTAAGAAACCCTCTTTTTGAAAAGACAGAAAAGAGGTGGGATTTTCAGTAAATGCCATGGATGCTAGTGCAGCACACATAGCATGAGCACTTACATGAACTGGACCTGAGGTGTTGGGGGAGCAGCTGTAGCAGCAAGGCCTGCTCATGTTGTCCTGGGAGGTGAAGCTGATGTAATGCTGAAAAGAGCTGTTGCCTTCTGCTGTAAGTGTGCTCGGGAAGGGGTTGAACCCTCCAAGAGTGGGGTGTGTAGAGCTCCTACAGCACAGGATTTATAAATCCTTGACCCTTTTCATGACCATTCCTTTTACGCAATCATACAACTATTTTTGGCCTCGGTGTTTTGCCTTTATTTTGTTAAAGAGTAATACTGTTAAAAGAATGTGAGATCTCAACCTTTGGTGTTATTCTTCGTTCTCACTGAAGCTTAAGGAAGGAAAAGGTAGATGGAGCCTTAGGGAAGCATTCTGGTACTACATAGGTATGTACTTAGGGCTATTGGCAGAAAAGGGACAGACAGAGGTTATTGAATAATATTGAAAAGGGAGAAGTATGTTTAAATCTTAATAAGTTCAATTCAAATAGTATATGCAATTAATGGAAACTGAAAACAGTATCAAGAGTTGGACAGAATCTGGGATTGAGTTTTGTACAAAACTAGATTTTTGATCCAACAATGGCAGGTAATGATCTAGTCTATTCTTGTTTCTTTAAGGAAAAAAGAAACCCCAAACTTGTAGGGAAAAAATAGAGTAAATATGTTTATATGTGCATTTGGAATTTTCATCTTGACCCTGTCAGTCTCCTGTGAGATGGATACTTAGGATCTATCAGAAAGTTACTTCGTTCTATCTGTCTTTGATACAAGGAGCTCTATTTCACTGAGGGAAGACAGCAGCGTTAATGAGATCTCTTAGGTAATTATATTCCCCCAGAACAATACTTTGAGTTTCAACCACTTGTTTTGAGCATGGCCTGCTGTGTGTGCAAAGTAGCTATCTTGAAGCTCTTTAAGAAAAATCTTATTCTACATTGGTCTGTCTTTGATGCCTGGTTGAGCTTGAGGTATGAATCAGGAGTTGGCTGTGTTGGGTCAGCTTCAGCTGCCAAAAGAAGAGAGGCATAGAAGGGTGAAACAAGGGCTTCTGGCTGACATGCATCCTTTGGCATGCCCTAAGCAAGTTTTTCAGCTGTAGTCTGAAAGGAGCCCAAACCGGAGGTTTTATTCTAGATTTTTATGGGCAGTTTCATAAAGATCAAGTTTGTCAACTGTCATTTCCTACCAGTGTGACTTCTCTTGTCTGGACTGAGCTGTAGCTGCTATTCTTTGTTCATGTCCATTAAGTAAAGAACACCTGGTAATTTTTTTCACAGCTTTATGGCTAGCTATATTAGACATGAATACATGAATAGCATCAGTTTCAGATGCATGAAGTCATCTAAGAAATCTGCTAAGAAAATGCTAAGAAATCACTCTGTGATTTTTTTTTTTAAACTTTTTTTAAATAAACATCTGGATTTTTTAGGTAAAACTTCAATGTGTAAATCTCAACTTCTGCTGAAGTGTATGATCTTTAAAGTGGTGCCTTTTAATCATAATCATATTACTTCAGAGTGTATAAATTTTCATGATTTCGTGAAGTAGAATGTTTGAGTGTCAGCTGTTTGTGGCTTCACCCTAGCGCAGGGACAGTTAGTCTGAACACCATGGCATTGTGCTGCTTTGTGGTGTGGAGCTTGGAAAAATTGATACCAGCTGCCACCAAGAGGTTCTGCAAGAGAGCATTCCAGGCAACAGTGTGCTGTGGACACCCAAAGTGTGTCTCTAGACTGGTCTGTCAAGAAGCTGGTGGAGTCTTGAAGGTCTCTTGGAGACTATGATCTGGGTTGCAGCTGTGAAACTGAGTTTGCCTGGTGGAAGGCACTGCCTGTCTTGGCTGTGTGGTCTTGGATTTGGAGTTTGAAGCCTTTGAAGGCTGCATGTAATATATGTTCTTGGCTGTAGCAAGCAGAAGTGAAAATCCATAGTGGATCAACTTCCTTTCCTTGTTCCGGTTGGTCAGTGGCTAAGTCATTGTCATTTAAGTGCATAATCCCACCTTTAGCAGTGCTCAGTGCAATTTACCCAAGATGTGTCCTGTGATACGGGCAGAGCTCTGCTGGAGGTGACTCATCCTGGTTTAGTGGGACAGACTCTGTAAAATTGCGGGTTACTCCTAAATGGCTTCTTTAAACAACCTGGGAAGCTACTTTCTCTCTGCACAGCTGGAGGCCACTGCTCCTCCCTCTGCTTTGACCTGCAGGACTTGTCCTTCCTCCTTTCCTGCTGGGTCCTTCTGGCTATTTCCCAGATCCTGGGTGGGGGTACTTTGGTGTCACACCAGTAGGGGCATCTGAAGGTAAAGGCTGCTGAGCCCTTCTCACACTTTAGCTGAACTTGTCTGTGACTGATCACTAACATCGTTCTGAACCCAGGTGCAAAGCCAGATTGAGGGTGGGTAAGGCTGCAAGTGCTTCAAGGGTGGTTCCAGCAGCTCAGCTACCACAGTTGCTGGGCTGTGTGCTGAAGGAGGCTGTTATCTGCATCAGAAGCTGAAATAAGGGCCTTGGCACCTTTTGCAGTAATGCATCCAGGGAAAAAGGTGTTGACAAAGTCTCTTAATTAAAAGCCCATGGTTTCATAGGCTGCTTTTCACCAGATGGGAAAGCTTGTGAATTTTATGCGTCAGAATCCTGCCTGGGAGGTGAGGTGAGGCTGATTCTAATGCAAAGGAGCTGCTGTGGTTGCTAGCAAGGGCAAAACATTTGTGTGACTCTGCAAGTACCAGTGTCTTGTAGAAGTTTGAGCAGCTTTATTGATGGATTAGGCAGAAAATTCTTCGGGACAGTGCTTGATATGACCTGTTTTGAACAATCTAGGATTAAGAAGAATGCATTTTCACTCATTGTTTTCTTATTCTCTTTCTTCAGATGAACACAATGACGTACAGAAAAAGACCTTTACAAAATGGATAAATGCTCGCTTTTCCAAGGTAATGTTGATTTGGAAGTACTACTTTCTTTTGTTTGACTCACATTTTAGAAAATATTTCTCTTACTTTTTAGAATACTCCTATTAAAATGTTTCAATGTATAATGAAAGTAGGTAAAATATTATAATGTTTGTTCTCTTAGCTTCCCCTTGCACATAAATATTTGATACTAAGTCCTAAGAAAAAAAAGAAAGATTCTATTTGTTAGTATGTTAGAACAGTTCTTTGCATGAGCGTGTCTGGTTTTGTTCCTCTTCATACAGTTTATTTCTACATGCAATTTTCAGAGCGCATTACAGCAGATTTTGATCCTTAATAATTGTGTTTACTCTGTGTTGCTGAGTTAGCTTTACTTACTCTGCAAACCTCCAGTTGAAGCCACCTGGTGTTGCTACTCGAGTCTCGACTGTGAAATTTACTTGCTCGTTTTGAATTTTCTTTGGCTCTCATGCTGTATGTTTCTTGTTTGAATTCTCTTTATTGACTTGAAACTTACTGAGGATCTTCTGTGCTTTAGGATGAGAAAGGAAGTGATGTTTGCTTTGGGATGCTATTTAAAGCTTGCTTTTTACACTGTTCTGCTGGTAGGGAAAAATGACACTTTGCCCAGGAGCACAGTTGCTGTGGGAAGTTTTTCTACTTCATAGTTTGAATGTGTGAAGCAACCTGGGATATTATCAAGGAAAACTTGTGGGCTTTTTTCTAGCCAGCGTGGTGCTGCAAGTGGGGTAACTTGGCACCCTGTTAATGAAAAGGGGCATGTGAAATGCTGAAAGCAGATATAAACATAGAAGGAAGGGTGTGTGTGTGGGGTTGGTTTGTTTTTCTTTACAAATAAAGCAATGACAGTGCTTTAGCAGTGAATGATTGCCTCTGGAGCGCTGCCCTTCTGAAGTTCTTGATCAGCAAGCAACGTAAGGTATTTTTGCCATCCTTTCCTTCCTGTGCAACAGGACTCGGAGCAATGCAAGGATTGTGGCCTTGGTTGATTCACTTTGGCTTAGGTTTGTTTTGGTTGAAAGCTGATATTCTGCACTCTTCATCCAATGCATTCTTGGCTACTTTGCTCTTCGGGGAGGGTGTGTGTATGGGTAACTGGTTTCTCTACATTCGACTTCAACTGCTGCCCAGAGGAAAGGTGATCCTGCAGGAGGAGCTCTAGGCAGGGCAGGATCATGTAAGGAGAGAAAATGCAGTGAGAAAGAAAGGACGGTTTATAGAGATATATCCTGGCATAAAGATGGCACGACTATGGAAATGAAAGTGATCCTGAGAATGTGCTAGGTGACTTGTATGTGCTATGGAAGTTATACTCAAGTAGGTAACATTGTTTTCAGTCTTTGTTTTTACACCTATGGATACATTTCATAGTATCTTTATGTTTTATACTGTATATTGAGACACATCCTGCTTAGCTGGATTTCGCAGACACAGAGTATGGTCATTGGATTTGAAGGCACTCTGTAACTTGGTAACTCTGTAACTTCATGGCCCATTAAACCCACTGAAGCTACGAAAGCCATGCTAAAGAGACTCCTACAAAAGGAAATACTCCTGACTACTGCATATCCAATTCAAACTTAAGCATGGCCACTTTGCCATGACAAGACAGAGATTTATGAAGATTGGCATGTCCAAACTGCTGGTGTTAAGTAGAAATCTCCTCATATATGAAAGTCTAGTTTCAAACTGTACCTTGAAGATGTAAAGGGACTGATTTCAGTCCTGTTGAAGTTTTTGTATTTACCAAGTCAGTTGGGTTGATTAAAATTCCTTTTCTGTGAACTAGATTGATTCAGCAGCTTAGCAGGATAGAGTGATCATAGAGGCTGGGTAAATGAAGTCCGACTTACATTGCAGAACACAAAATATGGTAACTGAGCTATTTTGTGTGGAATTGCAGATTTCACTCCAAGAATTTTACTTGTCCTTCCATGTTAATTATGTTGTCCTTCATTTAGACACACAGATAAAAAGTAATCCATTGAGCCTCTGTAAACTATTTTGGCATACAAAATCCTAGAATTGCAATCGCATAATGCTAAATTTGATTGAAGTCAATTCAGTAGGGTTTTACAAGAGATCTAGAAAGAGAGCAGTGCCTTTCCCTTCTCTCATCATAGAATAGGTAGGTAAGCAAAACACTTTAAAGTATCTCAAGTGTGCTGTGAGGTGCCTATATCTGCTTCGGGACCCTATTCAGTGAGATGAGTTCTTGCTGTAGATTGCAGTACAGTAACTAGTGTTTGTGCACTTCATTTAAACTGTGCTAGAACAATGCATTCTATTTGCATGTATTGTTTGAAATGAAGGCACAAACATTTAAAGTGGATTGAGTCTTAAGGTCAATAAATGTACTCAGCCAAGGCTCAGTGCTCAGTGTAATATTTACCGTAGCAGAGCTTTGCGCACTACAACGCACAAGCCTGTGATGGTTACATAGTGAGGTTTTTTTTTTTTTTTTTAAATTACAGGGAATAAAGATTGTTGGATAAATAGTCTATTACCAAGTTTTAACCAGTAGGGTAGTTGAACTTTGCATTCAAATATTGATGTAGAACACTGCAGCATACGTTTATAACGCCATGTGATGTTTTTACTTATTGTATATTTTCCCATTGCTCTGTCCAGTCTAATTTCAAGAGTCAGATTTAGGTGTTTCCCTGTGGTATAGCCTTGCCAATCAAGTAATTTAGTTGTATGGTTAGCTAATACATGCCCTTCACACTCTGTAAAATTTTCTATGCCTTTATCCCTTTATATATTAATCTTCATTAATACTCACCAGTTCATATGTATTAGTGGTTATACTTTCAGAACACCTTTCTGCAGTGCAAGAGTACTATCTTGTCAGAGTGGTTTACAGCCACAGAGAATAAAGGTAAATATCAGAAGTGGCTACCAATTTTGAGTGCTCAACCTGAGCCACTGGGTAAATTGTCCCAGAGGATTTGGCATTTCTGTCATATTTTGATATAAAACAGAGCTCTTGAGTCTTATGAAGGGGTTCAGAGTGTTCATCTCTTCTGCAAACTAAAGCAAACCATCTAAAATACCTAGCTGGTTTTGAGATGGAGCTTGAATCAGCACAGAAAAGGGACTTCAAGAAGATGTCTGTATCAGCAAGGACTGGACTTAATGATCTAAGGAAGTCTCTTAGTCTGGCACACAGTTAGTGATTGCACGTAAAATTGCTGTAAATGATTCTGATTAGACACAGCAGAACTCTTGGCTAAAAGTAGAGTTTGAATTCTAGTCCACAGAATAATTTAGTGCTTCTTTAACCATTTGTTACTTGTTTCGCATATGTAAAGGGAGAGTGAACAGAGATTTTATCAACCGTAGTTTTCCAAATGTCAGAATAGTTTCAGTCTGTATTTGTATCAACAAGCCTGGGACTCTTAGTTCCATCTCTCAGATCTGACTCTTCAGCTCATAACTGCATAGCATCATGGCTGGATACTCACACTTGCAACTCTAGATGGTTTCTAGAAACTTGATAGGCATGTTGAGGAATTCAGGAGTCTTGTGTCCCACTTTAGAACTCTGCAAGGGCAATTTTTTTTTCTGCCCTGCTTTCTTTCTTTCTTTACTCCTACTTTCTGACCCTGTTTTTGGTTTGTGTTGTGTGTTTTTGTGTTCCCCCCCCCCCCTTCACTTACTGTTACACCCTCTTGTGTCAGAAAGCTTGCCTGCCTGGCAATCCTGGGAAATCTGGAGTTTTGATTGCTCTGTTTATTTCATTCCCACTTCTTTGTCACTTAGTTGCTTTCCCAGCAAGACCCAGTTTTTCTTTTTAAAGCTACAGACCTTCTCTGCCTGTCCTTCCTTTCCCGCTTACAGGGATTGATGCTTGTGTGGTCAGTCCTATTTTTGCATCTCCATTTTCTCAGCAGTACTAACCTCGCCCTCCCTTTTCCTCCTTGCAGGATTCAGTCTTTGCTGGCTTTCATTTTCCCACTTTCCAAGGTGGTACTTTTCCAAGTTTGCTTTCAGATTGGTTCCTTTCCTCTTCTGCTATTCCTGAACTTGGCAGATGTAACCCAGAGTCAGCACAAGAAACATGATGCCCTAACTTAATATAGACCCATAGAGTCAGGTCTGTTACAGCCTGTCGGAGCTTAGTGCTGTCACTCACTGGAGGAAGTTCACAGATCAGTATGGGCAAACTGTTTTCCCCAAAGAGTTGTTTCTTCATTATATTTGTGAAGTTTTTCCATAGGGATGGCAAAAAGCTTTATTTCTAGGAAGGTTGTGCTCTGCAAAAAGAACATAAAACCCCGGAGATGTTTGCGGTGTTCAGTGAAAATGACACTGGATTTCCCTGCCCCTCAGTTAAAAGTCTTGGGTAAGAATAGCTGTTGAATGGAGCCAGCTGGGGCACTGTTCCAAGATGTCAGGAACTGAATTCTAAGCCCTTGCATGCCTGGGTGCTTGGCCTCCCTTCCCTTTCTGTGATATGCTCCCATATCTTTCCAATCCAAGCTCTAAATTTCATTGTTCTTATATACAGAAGCCTTATACAGTCTTACTAGAGCATTTGCAATGTTCTTGCTGCATGTATTTCCATGATTCTGCTCTTCCAGGTCCTGTGCTAGGGCCCTGGCATCTGCTTTGGCCAGCACTGACAGGGCTTGAAGCCAGGATGTGCCAGTTTGGATGAAGCCAGACAACTCACGCTGTTGCAGTATCTTAAACTCTCTCCTGCTTTGTGGTCTTCCAGAAATGCTTCAGTTCAGGGTTAAATGGCAAGGAAAAGTCTGAGAGCATCTTGGGAGCAGACTCCGTGCTTCAGGGCTGAGCTCCAGGTTAGCCTGGGAGAAGGCAAATGCTCAGTGCTGGTGCTCTTGTGCATTGCCTCTCCTGTGCTCTGATGTGTCCCTTCCCCTGGAAAGACACTGAGTAAAGATGAATAGGGCAGTAGGAGAACTGATGAGTTGTACTGGGAGTGCTTTGGGTTGTTATGGCTTTATATGAATGTTAAAACTGAAACAGTCCCT